CAAAGCAAACTCCATTTCTGGCCCTGGGAGACCTGAACCTGAAGACCAGAACAGTCATATATCTAATGCTATCACATCATCCACACCATTGATACACAACTCTCAAGTACCACTCATGCCACCACAGGCTGCACAGTTTTCCCGTCTGTGTATCACACAATATGAATTAGAGGAAATTAAGAGCAAGGCACATGATGCCAGAAGTTTTTGTATAAAATTAATGTGTAAAATTTTTAGTAGTGATGAGCGGTTGCAAAACGATAAGAATGTTTTAGGAAATTCAAGTGGGAGTGGTCTCAAAAAGAAAAGTCTTTGTCCTTATCGTATACAATTCATCAAGGACTGTGCTCGAAATATGTATCCTACAGATTTTCAGAATAATCCATCCAGGATGTGGACTACATGTGTATCAGCCATGAATTCGTGCAATAGAGGTTTCAGATGCATAAAGAAAAAGCAGAGTGGAATACAAAAATGAAATAGCGATGTCTTTGAGTGAAAGAACATGCATGTCTTAAGTGTTCTGCATTTTTTTTTAATATTTGACCTATGTAAACTGATTTTATTCATGCCATCAGTTTGCACTTCTGGCAGTGCTCTAGAGTACATTCCCACAGATTTAGATTGATCCATCTGGATCGACCTAACTCCCTGGGGGTTCACGCTAAATTGCAGTCAGCCGAGCACGCACGACAGTTAATTACCCCCTTACAGCTTTTAGTAGGTGGAACAGACGCTTTAAAAAGCCGGCTAAGCTGACCGTTATCTAGTGAGACTCCTCACAGGGATAGATTGATCTAAATTCTGTGGGAATGGGATCCTAGATTCTGTGCTGTTTCATTTTTAATATTATGAGGTAACGTTGTTCCAACAAAATACATTGGAATGAATTATGTAATTCAAGATGACGATGGAACATTAGCCTTTTTTGGTGGTGGTGCTGGGGGGGGGGAGGTGAAAGTTGTTATTTTTAGATAGACCTCTGGCACCTGCACAACTATGAGCACTGTTTTTGTAAAAAGGTCTATTTAATCATGACGTTAACAAAATGGACAATAAGCACTCCAAGTTGGTGTTAGTGCCTTAATTTGACTATTCATTTCGCAGTAATAAAAGTATACTACATCAGCCAAAACTGTGTATTACTAAGACTTCAACTTTGCATTAAATCTGACCTGATCTCTACTTTTGAGTCACTGCTCCTAAAACCATGAACAATGTACTTAATTCCAAGTTTAGGGAGTAAAAAATCTTAAGAAATATAACTGTTGGAGTAAAAATGGTTTCTGGATTTTCTAATTACTAAATATTATAACTGATAACCTTTTACTGAAGTATTAGTAAACCTTTTGAAGAAAAGATAATTGAGAGCAATGACACATTGTCATGAGAAAATTTGTCACAATTTCCTTGGCCTGCAACCCCATTCTATTTTTATAAACTTTCATGTATATTTCGCTATTTTCTTCCTATCAGTTTTTAAAAATAATTTATTATTCAAATCGTTACACCCCACACACATTATGAATTTTATAACTATTAATTATTTCCATGATACAGTATTTATGATACTTACATTTCGATGCTTACCTTCTGGGTCAACGCAGTGTGTATGTGTGTGTATGTGTGTGTGTGTGTGTGTGTGGGGGGGGGGTCAGGGGGGTCCTGCCACCCCCACCTCCCAGCCTTCGGTTTCTAAAAAATAAATCACACTAATATTTGGCCCTCTTGAAATTAGAATTCTGAATAGCTGATTCATAGTTCTAAACTATACCAAATGGCACAGTTTGTTCTAACATAAACAAACTTTTTCAGGGGCCTTTTATTCAGTGGGCCCCAAACCCCATCCCAAGGCCTGTCCCCCCCCCCCC